TCCCTTCCAACCCAAACCATTCTATGATTCATACTAAATGTATTTTTATGCATATATATTTCTGCATTAAAGCTCTGTAGTGCCCAAGTGATTTCTGCTGCTGAGGATGAACCTGCAGCCCAAGGCTGAGCCCCTCAGTGCTGGCCCCCAACCCCTCCAGGCAGCAGGAGCACAGGGAATGGATTGGGATCAAAAGAACAAACAGAATTTGAACTACTCATCTTCTGCTTCGCCATGAGGGTATTTTAAGTCTAAGATATGGGTTCATTCCTTGAACATCTTGCCAAAAAAAGAGTGTTGCCCAGCAACTACTAAAACAATGTTCTGGAAGGAGGGAGCTGCTGGACAAATTAACCCAGTACATGCCCTTTTCCCTGGAGTTTCATGCAGCTATTGCAGAGCTGCTGGATGGCTGGCAGGCAGCTCTGCATCCCAAATCCGAGCCATAAGGAATTTCCTGAGCAGGCTGTCAGACAGCTTGTTTTGTTGTTTTGCTGTAGTAGCAGCGTCTTGCATTAAACAAACACGTTGGGCTGAGCTCCAGCACAAAGGAACACAGAGCAACCCTGCAAACACACCCAGGCCAACTGCTGGAGCCCAGAACAGCAGCTGGGGTACAAACCAAACCAACTGCTGGAGCCCAGCAAGAGCAGCTGGAGCACAAACCCACCCACCCCGGGCCCTGCTGCACCTTCCCCAGGTCACAATTTGATTCTGGAACACGGACCTGTCTCCGTGCATTTAGGCAGGAATGATTCCTAGTGAGAAGTGGGGTTTTAGCCGAGCTGAGGGTCAGCTCCAGCTCACTCTTTCCACACCAATCCATGCCAGTTCAAGGGAAATTCATTTCTAGCCACTCTTCACACACAGTCACACTCCAAGGCAGCAATCAGAGCAGCAGTTCCAGCTTCATACAAAACAAAAGGCCTTTTCTGTTCACAGAAGTGCAGATAACTAAGGAACTGTCACACTCTTTCTTTTTTTGGAGGCTTGTACAAGCGGGATTTCTTCCAGGAATCTCATCTGTACACATTTAGAACAGTTAAGGAAAAAAAAACCCACCTCTTTCGCAAGAGTTTTCATATTAACATTTTTTAAAAGAAACACCCTAATAAAAGTAACTCTCCAGTCTTCACATTTTGCAAGGCAGTTTTAGAGGGCTTTTGAATCAGCTGGAGCTGAAAGCACGAAGGGCTGGAGAAACACTGCACTTGAAAAATACCAAACACCCCCAAAACACCGTTTTCAACGTGGATTAGGAAAGCCAAAATAAAAAACACCATTGAAATCTCACAGATCATAATTCCCATCCAACCTCAGGTGCTCTGTAATCCTGATTGGGATGGGGTGAAGAAAGAAAAACTCAGCCTTCATACCTTCAAGTGGTCAAAGGAATATTTTAAGGACCGAGAGGCACCACAGCATTTAATATAATAATAACTGCAGGTAAACACTCACAGGAACTTGAGGGTTCTGGACCAACACCTTCCTTTGGAGTTCTTTCATCTCCAGCACTTCAGCTTTTTCCATCTAATACATTGAATTTTTATTTATTTTTTAACATCTCATCTACACTTTCACTCCAAACCTTACCCGACCATTTTCTCTCTTGCACTTCACCTCCTTCAGGGCTCCACCACCACCAGATCCCTCTGTCAGCCTCTTCTGTCAACAAAGCAGGCCCTGGTGTCCTCAGGATGCCTCTGCCTCCCCTCCCAGCAGCCTGGATGTTTCCATCCCTCCCATCCCTGACTCTGTCCATGCTGCTGCACATCAGCCTGTTCCACCCAGCACTCCCCTCGCTGCATGTTCCCCAGGACAACATTTTTTTAAAGCAGGGACTTACTACAAAAAGCCCTCCTCCGTTTCAGCTGGGAAGTGGCTGCTTTTAGGAACACACTCCCCAGGCAGGGACTGTTTTCACACCCCGAGCAGGTTATCAGTGTTTGGTGACAGAATATACTCATATTTTAGCATTCCTGGCAAACCCTCCTCCCAGGAGAGGCTCTCTCCAGGCAGAGGGATGGTGCACACACCCCACCACTTCGTGCACAGCAGCTCTGCTCTCATTCAAGGGTCTAAAGTGGAAAGAAAAACCACCACCCTCTAGACCTGGGCCTTGCTGCTGCCTCGAGATGCAGGTGACTAAGTGTAGCCTAGGCAACATCATTTTTTAAAACCTGAAACACCTATGGCTGAGAAAAAAAGCTGGATGGATTCCTCCTGCCGCTGGATAGATCGGTTTGGTTTCACACTGAATTTTCTTGGAGTCATGTCTGCGTATCTGAGCAGTCAATCTTCCTCCCAGAGATCTCTCATCGCTTCGATTAAGCATGAAATTTATATTTACAGCTCTTTTACATCTGCCCACAGAAGACAGATCTGCTCTGAGAAGCTCGGAATGACATTTCTTAAAATCACCACACAAGGGAAGACTCCCAAGCCTGGCCAGAGGTCAGATGGGACTGACCTGCACACCCAACAGCACAGCTGCTTTGAAAGGGGAGTCACACAGAGACATAAACCAGGTATAAATCCACAGCAGCGTTTTTCCAGTCCTCTGTGAAGGTATAATGCAGGTCACTCCCACTTGATTCTTTTTGGTTTTGCTCTAATGAGATTTTTAAACATTCCTTCCAGTTGCAGCAATGCATCAGCAGGGGGGACTTGTATGAGTCCCAGGAAGGTTTGGGTTGGAAGGGGCCTCAAAGCCCATCCAGAGCCACCCCCTGCCATGGGCAGGGACACCTTCCACCATCCCAGGTTGCTCCAAGCCCCGTCCAACCTGGCCTTGGACACTCCCAGGGATGGGGCAGCCACAGCTTCTCTGGGCAACCTGTGCCAGGGCCTCCCCACCCTCACAGGGGAGGATTCCTTCCCAATATCCCACCTAAATCTACCCCTTCCAGACAATATATGAACACCCTTGGGCACCACGTTAAAGTTTACAGAACAGAACATTTACCCAGCAGTTCCCAGCCAAGGCTGTCCCACAGGCACCTCGTGCCACTGCCCTGCTGTCCTGTCACAAAACTAAACACTGACACAACTGCATCCCATTTTCCCACTGCTGCTTTATATCCCAGATGTAAATGGTGCTGTTTGGGTAAGTGTCCCTTCGGGGAGGCCTCGAGTTCCGTGTGCAAGGGAGGGTTTTTGTGAGGGGCCATAAAAACCCTGACTGAGACTGCAGGGACACGGCTGTGGGTCCTGACCTTGCCAGGAACCCCCAGTGCAACCCCAGACCAGCCTTTGGGGGCCTTTGCTTCACCACAGAAAAGGGGTATTATCCATTTCTGGGGTGATAAACTTCATTATTACCTCTTCTGAACATACTTATCATAGAAAGCATTTTATCTCAGACTACACTTGCAAAGTGTGTGTATAAATAACAGAAATGCCTCCTAAAATTTTATGACTTTTGTTGCCATTTACCATTAAGCATAAACTTCCCCATGAAAGCTTTACTGAACTAACTACAAAGGTTGGAAAAGGTTCACACCATTCTTCCTCCCTGTATAAATTATAAGTAATATGAGAACATTTACAATGTCTAACCACAATGTTTTATGTCAGACAAACGTCTCTCTGTACTTGCAGTTCCTAAACTGTGCCTTTTTTCATTCTTTTCTCTCTCCCTCTCTCCCTCCACCTCCATCTACACTCAGCAGTCTCAGTCAAACCTGGTTTTATTCTTTCCTGTGATTTTAACATCAAGAAATGCCTCGAGTCAAGGCTCTGGTTCACATAACAACATTGTTCTCTTTTCTAGAGAGCTTAACACTGAATACTGAAACTTCCCCAGGTTGCCTCTTTAGCATTTGAATTATCAGCTCTTTAGTTTTCCAGGAAAAAGGGAGAAAAAAAAAACAACAAGAACTCACAGACTGCAGCAATATTTTAAAAGAGTTTCATTATATGAGACATCTTCATGTCATGGTAAAAAAAAACAAAACCAAAAGCACTTAAAGAACAGCAAGCAAAACAAGCAGCACAGAAGGTACATGATTTTCAAGGGCAATCACCTGCAGTTCTGGCCACACCTGAACAGAATCCTGGTGATTCTGAGACCCTGGTAAAGGCAAAGCATAACCAAGGGAACAAGATTCATCCAAAGAAACGAGACACACAGTTGCTGCTACATCTGAAACAACAACAAAATCCAGCTCAACATTTCAAACTATTTGGCTGAGTTATCCTTTGGGTAAAAGATGCATCCAAGGGGTGAAAAAAAAAAAAAAAAAGGAAAAAAGAATTCCAAGGTCTCTGCAAACAAAATCCCAGCTAGTGCTTCTCTTCCTGTCTGAGACTTTTCTTAAACAAGTCAGGCCTTGCCAAGCTGTGCAGAGCAGCAGGCACTCATTTCTTATCACTGAGCAGAAGTTTCCTGGCAGAGTGAAAGCAAAGCCTAAGGTGGTGAATATCCAGTTAGGTCAGACAACAATAGTTGTTGCAAACATTTGCTCCTTCTTATTTTCCTCTTCTCTGAGACAGGTTTGGTTGTGGGTAATTGAAAAGCACGGGAGAGAATGGAGAAAAAGAAAAGGAAATTTCCAGGGATCCTCTAAGTTTGGACAGATCTGAAAGGCAGCCTTAACTGGCAGCCCCATCTCCATCCCCTCACAAAGCCTTCTTTTCACTTCCTGGATATGGCCAGACACCTGCCTGCCCATGGGAAGTGAGGAAACATTCCCTAGTCTGCTTTGCTTGTGTGTGCAGCTCTTGCTTTACCCATTAAACTGTCTGCACCTCAACCCACGAGTTTCTCACTTTTACTCTCCCATCCCACCGGGGTGGGGCTGAGTAGCCAACTCAGGTTAAACCACAACAGACATTCACACATAGGTATTTTTTTTTCCCCCATGAGTTGTCCTTCATGGAAGGAGATGACACTAAAATATGCTATAGAAAGCAGAGAGGTCAGAAATCGTTCCACGTGGCTGCACAAAGCGAAGAATCATTTCTAACCAGCAGGGTAACGAGCTGTCCAACCGACTTACCTCGGAATTTTTTGGGTGGGTTGTTAAGATCACCTGCCTCTGGCTGCACAACACACCGATCATCCACAAGGCTGCAAAGAAATGAGCAGCAAAGTGAGATTTTATCCCCCTGGCAGTTCCCCACGTCCTCGTTAGCAAAACCAAAGTGGTTCACTTGCAATATTTCATCCGAGTGGCCACTTGAGCAGAAGACATTCCCCAAATGCCATCTTATGCCAGATCTTGGTCAGAAGCATGCAGCTAATTTGTACTGTTGCCCAGAGCTATGCTCCTGGTAGGTGGGACAATAAATAAGTCATTGCTCCTGTGTTCTGCATCATCTTTATGTCCCCTCCTGGAGGTGCAGACAGAACAGCCCATATTCTAGGGAGGTGACAGACACCCTTAGAACAGCCACTGCCTCTTGGACAGATTTGAGTCACGCTCAAAATGTGTTTATATGGGCAGAGAACAGCAAAATATGACAACTATGCAAACTGGACACTGACCCTGTGGTCCCTCAATATTAAAAAATGGCAGGAACAGTAAAAATTGACTCCTGAGAGAAAGAAAGGCACAGACAGACCCTCCTGCTCCCCAGGTAAACACAAGGTGAGCCAAGGGGTCGAGCCAACCTCCTCCTGTTCTACCAGGAAGGAGGGGAGCTGGACAAGTGAGGCCAAGAGATTCCAATAGGGAATGCCAGGACCAAGCTTTGTGTGAACACACACCTGCAAAAAGCCCAGAGGGTCAATTAAACCCCACAGAATGAAGGGAATAGTTAAGAGGCACCTGTTCCCACTGCTCTGCCCCCAGCACACTTTGGATCGGGGTGGAATTGCACTTTTAGTGACACCACCTCCAAATTGTGAAATTGCAGCTGTAACCAAACACTTCATGGTTTGATTTGATCCTCAGTGACTCAATTTGGCCCCAAAAAAACAATCTGTCAAAGAGGCTTCTACACAGAAGTAGAAAGTAAAACTCCAAGGTCAAAGGTTTGAGAGGTCCATTCCCATGCAGAATCAACTTGAGAGAGACTGAGACCTAGAATATGAGAGTTGTTCCTTGCAGGGGCTGGTCACATGCAGGGAGCATCTTGAGACAACAATTATAGAAAACAACCAAGTGCATGAAAATTCAGAGATCAGAGACACTAAGTGGACTCAACAGTTCTATGCATCTAAAATTTGCATATGCAAAACATTCAGAGTAAATTGCTTTTTCCCCATGGATTTTCTCCCTATTCAGGATTATATAGACATAGAGGTGCTCCTGCATGAATGGTATTAATATTTGAGCTGAAGCACCTGCTTCTAGTGAACTAAGGGCCAAAAAGTATCAAATGGGTTACTCTGATCATCCCACACAGAGATCATCTCAGTGCAATATATCCCTCTCATCTGAGATTTAACTGGAAGTGAAGAGGAACTTCCCAAACTACCGAGAGAAAAATTTTCCAGGGTGAGAAACACAGAAGAAGATACATTGTACCCCAGTAATCATCGTGATGGCAGCACTGAGTTTGGGAAACAGCAAGAGTAAAGTCCTGATTAAGCAACAGTCATGTCATAGGAATATTAATTAGGAACACTCTTCAGAGATTTAGGACAGCATTAGAATGTGTAGTGGTATCTGCTCCTCAACCTTCAGTAACCACATGAACAAGTCATTACACATTGTTATGACATCAGACTGTCAAAACTCCACATGGGCTAAAGGACAATTACACCAAATCTTTCCTTTGCTGCTTTAATTTTCTCCAGGACAAAGACTAAATTAAATATGGGACAAAACTAATTAGATTATGAAGGCTTATTAAGATGATAATGCATTTCATGTTTCACATAGCAATTAGGATTTCTGGCTTAAATTAGGCTCAGAAGATATGTGGCCATTATATAATGCAGTTACCTTAAAACAGCACTAACCAAATCAGAGAGGAGGCTTGGGAACACTGGGGGGTCTTTGGGCCTGCCATGAGAACGCCTCATCAAGCCTAGAAAACACACGTGCTCGGGGCCTGTGATGTCCAAAAGGACCACCCATGGTGAAAAATCTCTGCTCAGCAATGCCATCAAAGCCACAGCCACTGCAAACTGGTCATCATGCACCGGGTGGGGTCCGACACAACAGCGCGGCTTTCTACTCGCTCGGGGATTAGTTACTGCCAAACTTCAGGACTGGGGAGAAAGAAAAGAGCCAAATGTCCCACAGAGTTCATGTTGCCAGTGTTCAGCAGATAGTATTTGGCCAGTCACTGATCGAGTACTGCAGAGTGCACGTGGCATATTTGACCAGGGCCTGGGAAATCTGTCAAATACATTTTTGCCAAATACTATTCGACCGACCCTACTTACTACACCCCTTGCTTTTATCATACCTTCTTTCCTTTCTGGCAGCATCCCATATTTTCTTCTCTTTCCTATAATAGATCATGGTGCATCTTCAGTGTCTGCTTCCTTCTCTGCCCCCTTATTTTCCAGAATCCTAATGGCTAGAGGACTAAACCTACAAGTTAGTTCGGAGTCACTCAGGTGAGATTCCAGCCCGTGGTTTCCTGCCGAGACACTTACCAGGATGCTGTCTTTGTACCCTGCTTGGGAGCTCCATTTATCAGATGCATCTGGACAGTAGGCATCAAAAAATTTGCTGTCACTGTACCCACCCTGAGGCCCTTACGGCTACTGGAAATGAGAAAGAGCACGTTGTGTGTGTGCCCACTCCCCACAGTCACCTGCCTGGTGCCTCCTGGCTGCTCCTTCAGCACTGAGGTCCCACAGCCACATGGCATGCATGCTATTCCCTCCCTCTGATTGCTCCTGGCTTTGGGAGAAGGTGGCAGATGTGCTCCTGGAGCTCCTCACCCGGCCCCCTGCAAGGTCTCTGCCTTTGGAGAGGTTTCTCCTCAGCAGGATAAAACAGCTCCTGTCCCTCCTCAGAGCCACCTTCCAGTTCCGTGGCTTTGCTCTGCCAACTCTTCCTTTTCCCATGTGAAAGGCTACTTTTCTGATCACTGGAGGAGCAGGCACTTCCCACTGCTCCAGAGGAACTCTCTCCAGAGCCCCTGCTCAGTGTCTTCGGGAAGGAAGCACGAAGGAGTTCTGTGGGAAGCAGGAGCTGGCACAGCACAGCTCCCACCACAGCTCCAGGGCTCTGCCACTGCCTTGGGCAAACACAAGGGTCAAAACATGTTCTCCTTTCACTGGAGAAGAACAACTTTATTTGTATGAGAAACCTCAAATTAAACCTCAATTTAAGACAAAACTAGTCATAGTGATGAGTTAGTGGTATATTAACTATTTGGCTTGGGGGTTCTTTTTTTATATATATATATATATATATATTTAAACTACTTACATGGCCTATGCTACAGCCTCTTTTCCAGTCAGCAGATTGCACTGGGGTCTATTCATCCCTGACTGGGGCAAGGGGCAGGGAGGGACAGGACGGGACACACGGATGGACACGGGACAGACAACAACACGAAAGTCACTTCATTGCATCCACTCCCTCTACCCACACCTTCACTTGACAAGGTCCTTCCTCCCCACCAAGGACATCCAAACCACACCACAGCCATTGATACGCTCTCCAGCCTCCCATCTACCCTGCCACGGTAACTTCAGGCCATCTTTAAATGCAGGGCCAAATCCATACATAAAGCTACTTTGCTTTACCCAGTATTCCCTGGGATCAGGCTCAGGAGAGCTGGCTGAGCTCTGCTAGTCCTTCTTACGGTGCTTTTAGTACAAGAGAACAGCTGTTCTTACCCCAAAGTGCTAATAAATCCATTTGTTGAGCCCTCTGCATAGAGAGAACAAATATCTCCAATATGAAGGAAGCTCGACATCTTGTCAGTCATCTCTGGCTTACTGCCCCTGGAAGGGAGAAGAGAGGATAAAGCACAAGGTTAACGAGGCAGAATTTCTTGGTGGAACCAGAGGTTACAACAACAGGACCCTTCACTTCTGACTGTGCATTTGTTTGAAAAACTGAACAAGTTCTTGCACTGGAATTTCAGGTATCAAAGAAATCCCAGCACGACACAGTGCCTGCTTGGAAAAACAAACAAGGGGAAAAAAACAAGCAGCTACTGGCATCCCATTCCATTTGGGAATGTTTTACAGGCAGCCATTTCCATCCCAAAGGATGCTCAGTGATTTCAGTCCAGGTGAACCAGTCTATTCCATGCCTCCAGTGGCAGGAAAGGGAGGGAAGAGTGAGATGCCTCTGTTTATTATTTGTATCTAAATCACAACACATTTCTCTGCTAGATCCTTTGTCAGAATCAAAGGCAAGTCCAAGCACATTTTATTTTAAAGGCTCTCCCGTGCTGGAATGGTGCTCCTGGGAAAGGGGATGTAAGATATTGATGTGATTCCTGTCGGTATTTTTTGGTCATGTCAATAATTTGTCACAACCAACACCAGCAGCCTCCTGCTCACACCTGCAGGCCCCAAGACAGAATTAGGTGAAGACCCACTGAATAAGCCTGACAACAGATTTTGCATGGAAAAACAGAAAGATTAAGATTTTTCTGAGTCAAATACTCTATTAGGCAGACAAATCCCCGTGAAATCAGCAATACTTCAATCCTGGGTTTAAAATAGCTGGCCTAAATGTAACACTGAGGAGACAGACACTGAGTGTTGTCAACTCCCACTGTATTAAGAAGTTTATTTTCTCTAAAACCCCAAATCCTGGCCAGAATGACACAGAACCCACCTGTCACTTCAATAAATATAGCAAAGCGAGTGTGGCTCTGTCACAGCAGGAGAGAGACAAACAACACGAGCCCGGAGAAAAAACCCAACTGAAGAAACCTTCAAAGACATCTCTTCCAAGCCCAGTATTTCTGGTTTCCAGGAGATGCTCCCAAAGCCCTGCTTTTTGATCACCCAGTTCAAAACACTGAAATATCCTGCGTTTGAGGCCTCGAACAGCAGGAGCAACGAGGCTCTTCCAAGCTGCTCCTCCTCGCAGGCTGTGACCTGTTCCACGGCCAACACTGCCAGATTTAGGGGAAAAATAACTGAAAGCACTTCCACCCTCTCAGACATCACACCTTTAAACGGTCTGTGACCAGGAGAACCGAGCAGCAGGAAGTTCTGCTGATTACAGAGCACAGCCCTGACTTTGTACTGGGAGAAATATTCCCTTTCACTGAGCATTATCTTGCTTACCCAAAGTGTAAGGATCAGTTTGCTAAGCAAGGCTGGAGCTCAGCAAGGACGGATTCAGGGAGATCTAAAAGGTGATGCTGATAATGCAGCTGGGAAAGTGCAACAAAAACCTGAAGTTAACAATTTTTCTCTGAAAAGCTCCAACCAGCTCTCCCTCCTCACCCCTAGAGCGTTGGTGCTGGTGGGAATAACAACCATTTCCATTATTATTAAGTCAAAGCACACTGTAGACATTCCCATGCCTGTAAATCTGTGTCATTTGTACAATTAAAAACAAATTGAGGAAAACCAGGAGATAACAGGCCAAGCTGATATGCAGGTAAAGGGGTCTCAGCCCCTCTGGAATCTGCACACACAAGCAAACATTTGGCTCCAGGTTGCCTGTTTAATGCCAAGTCCTTCAGCCTCTGCATGTCACACAGTCTGTTCCCATTCTATCTTGATAAGTGGACAGAAAAACATCACTACCTATTTTAAGATGTATGCCACAAAACATACACAAATATGCAGAGGGACTGAATTAGCAGCACCAGAAATACAGCTCTGCATTTCCTGACTTGGATGGTAACTACCAACTTCAGACTAAAAAAACTTATTTTCCCTCAAAATTAAGCCCTGAATTAATACAGCCCAAAGCAAAAAGGTGTTAAAGTCAACAAGAAATGCAGATACTTCCAAATGACCCCTTCCTACAAGGGCATTAAGGTCTCCTGCTCAGGGTGTGAGGGGGATTACCCTTCCCTTTGCAAGAAGCAGATGTTCACCCCAGCTGTTCCCAAGGGAATGTGGAGGTCAAAATTATTGACTTCCATTTAAGATTTTTTTCTTGGCAAAAATAAATAATCTCAGCCCATTGACCAAACTCAGGCCCAGGGATGGACAAGCAAATTCCTGCATCACTTTCCAGGATAGAGCCTCAATTTCCTTCTATTTTCTTCAGTGAGGAAGATCCCAACACACCACGATGCTGTACCCTGACAAACCACGACAGTGCAAACCCCTAAAATAAGCTCTTTTGCAATTCACTGACATTTCCACTAATAAAATCTTTAGCAGCTTCACCTCTAACCGTCATACAGTTCTGGAGAACAGAAAGGTCGTGTTAAGCCTGGCAGGAGTTCAGATATGACTGAATTTCATCGCTGGGCTCTTCACCAGATCCTTTTCAGAATTTTCTGGGCAAGCTTGCAAAGCCACCCCTCCAGAGTTGGATTCTGCTTCTGAGCACCTCAGGGTGCAAACTGGAAGGCCAGGTTCTCCTGCTCCCAAACAGGACCAGGTTTCTGCTGGTCAGCAGCCTGGCTGGAGTTAAGCCTTACAAAGGGTTGGGCTGGCGACAGTAACCTTATTTTTGGAGGCTTAAGCGTGGATTATTTACCACGTTAAGTCCTCACTCCCACTTTTCTTATATTTTTGAATCCTGTTCTAACACCCATCAATGTGATGTCATCTCCAACACACCAGGAGCTGCTCGGATGGAGCTCCACCACCTCGGGAAGCACGAGCCAATTCCCAGTGGGGTGAGCTCTTTATAAAATACTGACTTATCCTAAGGCTTACCCACAGTCAAAACCAACGCTGTCTATATCTATTCTTTAACAACTGAATGGCAAAAGTCAGTCCCCTCGACATTTATCTCCAAACCTGCTGTTTCTGAGGTTGGCCGGTGCTCAGGAACATGCTGCACTGGCAGATGGAGCGAGGGACTCGGTGACCCAACGGGCCTCCCCACATGCAAGAGCTGCAAGGAAAGAGAATCATTTCTACACTGATTTATCTTCAAAGCTGGTTTTAGCCTCCTCAAAAGGGACTTGTGACACCTAACAAAATCATGCCAGTTATTTGCATTAATCACTACATGATCAGCCACCACAAACTGACTGTTTTCCACCTTTGACAAGGATAACCAGGAAACGTGAGACAAAGGTTTTCAAGAGCACAATTTCCAAATATCCAGTTTAAAAACCTTTTAAAAGAAGAGGCGTATCAACAACAGCAGACCACACTAATCCTGCCCAGATCACACCTCTGTGGGGTTCATTTCTGATTATTCTCTTCAGCTGGAGAAGCCAGAGGTTGAGGCAGCAAAAATCTGTCAGCCTTGGCACGCTCACCCCAAATTCAGAACACGGGGACTGAGGAGAGCAAGTTTCCTCCTGGACAGAACAGCCAGAGCATCCCTGTGTGTCCCCTGGCCACAGAGAGACACTTCCCTCCTCACTGCACCAGCCAGAGATGGGAGATGACCTCAAGCAGCCCCTGGGTACACAGGGCAGGAGGATTCTCAACCCTCCCCGTCCCTGGCTCTCGTGGGTACAGAACAATCACTGCTCATAAAGCAATAGTGCTGCGTAGACAAACACAACCATTACCCCACAGTTTATTTATTTTAGATATGCCCGTGCCAGGAGCAATTGACTGAAACCAGAGGAGGGGACGGCCCTAAAGGAACAGTTGCAGTTATTCCCTGCACAATCCCACTTTTAATGGCATTCTCACACCCCTGCAAGAGGGGAGTCCTGTAAGAAAGCCCTTCAGCTCCAGCCCACGGAGCATTGTCCTCCTTTTCTCCTTAACACTGAGGGAAAACAAGATTCCTTCTAGGTAAACTCACTTAAAACAAACCCAAGATGAAGCACTGATAAGCATGGCAATATCTAGTATAAATTAGGTTTTTCCAAGCAGCTGAACTCAGGTGGCAGCAATATCGACAGCAGCAACACTAGTTTTCAAAATAATGTTCTTCTCCCACTAAGCTGGAGGGTCTAATTTTGACAGACAGAAAGATTGACTGAACTTTTCAAAAGAAACCTGAACTAGAAGTGGACTGTACACTGAGAAGTAAACTATAACTACCCATAGACATCAAAAAATACCTGAGAGATAAACACATTCTATAGTATTTTTTTATGCCTTGAAAGCCCAAATTTTTATAATTATGTTGGTGATGATTGCCTCCTGTCTATAAAAAAAGTTATGGTGTCTTTAGATATGTTTATATCCAGTTTATCTGCACAGGAAAACAAAATGAAGTCTCTGTTTAGGAAGCTACCAAAATAAATAAATAAATACAGCAATCTGTTGAATTTCCTGGGAATTGCAGACACTGATTTCCGAGTCATTTGGCTCTATGGGACTGGATCTGAAAACGCATTAGTGAAATCCAGGCAGTGAATTAAACCCAGGAAAACCTGCTGTTCACCTCAGGAGCCTCAGGACTTGCCTTTCCCCTCCTGCTCTGGTGAACACAAACCTACATCACAACACCACGAGTTTGATCTGACTGAACACGAAGTGCCACAATTCTGGGGGTCGGTTCTGATTATTTCTCACTGTAGATTATCCTGTGTGTGTCCTCAAAGCAAGCTGGTTTCCCTAAGGCAAAAGGGGCTGAAAAGACCCAGTTCTGAAATGCAAACTGGGGATTTGTACAAGCCCTTGACCACCAGCACCTTCCCAACCCAAAGACCCTCCCTCTGGCTCTCAGGACTATTTTGGGGCACAAGCAGAGCACAAGCTCAGCCTGATGGCCTTGAACAAGCCAGTAACAGTTTGGTGTAGTCACTGAAATTCAGTCCTTTTTCTCATGGAAACACATTTCACAGTGGCAGTTACACAGAATTACCAGTGAAAACAGGGGAAAAATCAAACTGACTGTTAACTATCAAATACCTTAATGAGACAGCTGCTTTCTGAAAACCTCAGAATGGGAAATGCAACTGCTTTGTAAACATTTCACACTAATTTGCCCCATCACTCATCTGGATCCTGACGCTAAATGAGAAAAAACAGGCTCCAGAGTGACACTGGAAGTTTGCTTTCCTTGAAGAGCAGAGTCAAGGCCCCGTTTGAAGTCCCTCCTCACGGGGACTGTTTGTGACAACACTGCTGCACTGCAGTTATTCCTCATCTCAATTGTTTGCTGAAAGGCTTTTCAAAGCACCCAAAGCTATTTTCCCCATTTCACGTCTCACACGCCTGCTTTTGTGTGGGATTTTAATTCTTTACCTTATGACTGCAAATCCTATTTGTAAAATAAACGAGAGCGAATTTGTCTCGGTGCCGATGGTTTGATTTCCAGCAACCGGGATACAAATTACTTAATCTTTTTAAGATGGTTCTAATGATGTTTGTTTGGAGCAGAAAAAGCTCCTTGCTGTGCCTTGCAGTCCCATGATGCACTCGGTTCTCTGCTGGCATATTTTCACTGTGCTTTAGTGCTCAATTAAATAGAGATTGGCAATTTTATATGTACAGGGACCGGAGCTACACTTCATCAAAGTCTTTTTCACTATCTTGGTGGTTTAGTTACCAATAAAACCTCTAACTGTACTGAAGTGCTTCAGCTTCATGACTGCAGACAGGAAACTCCACAGTGAAAGTTTAATTTTGCCTCAGTTTTTGACAGAAACAAGAGCAGAGTTTACGGGTAAAGATGACAAAGAAGCAAACACAGAGAACTGCTTAATGGCACAAGCATGTGAAGAATCATCCAAAAACTAACAGATCTGAGAACCCCCAAGACCAGGGAAGTCTGTGTTTGAATTAAATGGAATTGGGTCCTTAATATTTGTAAATTAGGCCAAGCAAAATAACATTTTTTAACTGCAACCAAACCCAGACTCCCTGTACTGACCTGAAAGTCCAACGCTTATACAACTTGGTAAACCCACTTTACAGCATTATTTGGCTGAAATTTTGGCCCTACAGACTCGATCCAACGTTTCCAACTAACATTCCATGGTTTTTTGGATAACACCCACCCAACATTCTGTATCTATTTTCACAGGTGCAGCTAACTTGAAAATCTGAGCCCGGACTTGATATTTCCAGTTCTTATTTCAGTATAAAAAGGAAGGTTTCGTCCCTGAGGGCTGTGAGAAAGATTCCTAAGAATCCCATTAAAACTGCCAAAGCAGGGAGGAAGTGCTTTATTTAAAAGCTCATCCAGTGAACAGTCACCGTGCTGGGGCTGAGGGACGAAGCTCCTCCGTCATCTGCAAAGCTTCTGACTTAGCAAATCTAAAAGGAGCTCTTTGCACACGCAGGAAAGGCAAATCCAAGGGATTTTGGGTACTGGGATGTGGAGCTGAAGGTTGGCATTCTCACCCTGGCTCACCTGCAGCAGGAGGCTGCTCAGGAAGGGTGTTGGATGCCGAGAGGGCTCAGCACGTGTTTTATGCACATGCAGCTACATTTCAGAGATTAAACATTAAAAAAACCCAAACCTATCAGCAGAGGACGTTTATCTACCACGGGATCTTGTTTTCCATTTAACTGCAACCTTTCATGCCCAGGAGCTGCTCTCTGCCAACACATGGCACCTGATGAACCGTTAGATTAAAGGGCACAAATGCACCTTCTCAAACCAAGTATTCTCCTCCTGAGAAGCAGATTTCCCTCCCCTCTCCAGGCTGAGCAAGATGGAGCTGTGGCAGAGGGGAAGGAGGAGCAGCACAGCACCGTGACTTTCTCAAGGACATGCAGCAGGTCAGACTCAGAGCCCAGATCTGAATCCAGGTCTCCTGAATCCCCATCCAGCAGCCCTGGTTCTCCCAGGAGGGAGCTCAGTCTCCCTGCACAGCTAATCAAGCACACGCTTCCCCTTCCTCCAGAAATAAGCTGGAAGAGGCGTGGAAATCCACACAGCAGGATGAGGGCCAAGTTAATTATGTTCTATTCATACTATTTGCCACTTCACAGATAAATAGGTTTTTTTATCACATCAGTGATAAAGTTATTCAGAAGTTACTATTCCATAGATCCAACAGCAGTTTAAGAAAAAGGGAGAAACAGATAAAATAACTCATTTTGTTAACTTGAACCTCAATAAATCCTCAACACAGGAAAGCAAACATGCACAATGTCCTTTTCTCCTCAGAAAGAGCATCTGCATCTTTTTATTTGCCCAATGCAACCAGAGCATTCAGGTCAGAAGCACAGAAGTTACACTGACAGGGATATCTTACACAGCAGCCCAAGATTGAGGTAACAAATACAACTGACAGGTCCTAGTGACAAGCACCTGCAGGGAGCTGGAAAGGGAAAATCCATTAGAGAGGCACTGTCAGGGGGAAAAAATCAGGTTTTGTTCTAAACCAAGTATGAGCTGACAGCATCTTTTTATTGCCATTAGAAGTAAGGAGCACTTCCTGGAGCTGATGTGGACTGAGGGCTGTCCTTACTGCTCCAACTGTGCTGGGAGGAGGCAGCCCAGACATCAGCCTCTGGACAAGGCCCCCACAAGGAGGCCACAAGGTTTTCCACCACTTTCCTATCAGAAGAGGAGAGTTGGAACACACCAAAAGGACCAAGACAACCAATGTCATGGGGAAAGAGAGCAAGCTTGGTCTGTAACACCAGCTGGGGTTTGGCCAAGGAAGAAAGATGGCCGGGGAGAAGAGGGTACAGAACAGTCTCAAGTTCATTTGGTGTGGTCATGTATCTACTGAGGGTTCACCATGGCAGGGGTGGCTCCTGCAGCCCTGCTCCTCACATCACCCCTCCACACTTCCCTCCTCACCAGGAACAGGCTCCCCATGTCAACCCTCTGCCCTTCCTTCCTCAGACTCTTCAGCAAAGGAAACACTCCCTAAATTTTGCCAAGCAGTTCCCTTGTCTCTCCACCTCAGTAGCCTTCATCCACCTGCATCTCCCTCCGTCCCTGCTGCCCAGCACTTCCCCTGTCCCCCAGTCCCACTCCCCCTCCTCCAGCACTGCACCTCGGCGGGGGCTCCCTCTCCTCCATCGCGGCTCCGCTGTCGGAATCCAGGGCTGGGCTCTGCAGGATGTCCCCTGGCACACTTGGGTCCACGCTGGCAGCGAAGTCAGCGCTTCCCTCCCGCTGGCAAGTCTCTCCCGCAGGCTCAGGAGTGTCCCCGGCTCCAGAGGCAGGACCCTCAGGCGGGCGCTCCCGGCTCTCCCCTCCCGGACACCTCCGCAGGCTCCCGGGTCTGGGCTAAAACCTCAGTGCCTGGGACAACCAGCCCAAGAGGAGGAGCCTCTGCCAGCACATGATGGGCACGTGTGGAGAACCACTGGTGGCCTGGGGACCTACTTTGAGCCTGGCTGAGCTAAAAACCCCGATGGGCCAGGCTCCTTCACAGATGAAGGCTCCGGCTCCCAGGAGGACTTGGTCCTGTTGGCCCCCCAACAGTAATTTTCTAGAACTCAAGCACAAGTCACTCTTCTGAGGCAAAGGTTCAAAATACTGAACCATCTTATCTCAAAGAGCATTAGCAGTTGAATCTGCTAAACCCTTACAGAGGAGCAGCCAAGTACTGCAGGATTATTTTAATTAACCCTTCAGATCAAGCATCATCAGCCAGCTCAGGTATGTGTCTGCCTCCACGTCCATGTGCCTCAGAGTGGGATGACACAGGACGTACCTGGACTGCAACAAAAGCTTTTTTCCCCTCAGAACTTTGTGGCAGGTTTCTGAATTTCTAAAGAAGGGGAAAGGATAAGCCAAGGCACGAAAGAAATGTTTGTCAAAGTTTCATGTGAAACTGCTACTAAACAATTCCCACAAATTACCAACAAAAAGCAAGCTCCAGCCTTTGGGCAGCAGCCATTTTTTGGCCTACTGTGATCAGACATTTCTTCCATGTACCTGCACAGAGACTATGATCTTCTGACCACAGACACTGTGCACAGGACAGGACAAGGAAAGAAGGAACTGTTTGTGTGCATCCTGACGCTGGGATCCATCCCCCAAGCTGACAGTTTAGAGCTTAGCACCACCTTGCTCCAAAAGCAGAGGCACTACCCAACATCCTAACCCAGAAATTTGCTTCATCCGACATTCCAATTTCTCAGAGCTCTTCCCCATCCTTTGATCACCTATTAGACAAACACACACAGAATTCCAGACTGGACTGGGTTGGAAGGGGCCTTAAAAAGCTCATCTCATCCCACCCTTTGCCATGGGCAGGGACACCTTCCACTAGACCAGGTTGTTCCAAGCCCTGTCCAACCTGGCCTTGGACACTTCCAGAGAAGATATCACTGAGCTGTGAACACTCATCTTCCCACTGCGCTCCTCACACTGGCATCTGGCACGGGAGGGTGCACTGCATTGCCACAAGCCATAAACCACCAAACAACACAGGCTTCCAGGCACATTTCCAGCCCATTTTTCCCTCTAGAGGGTTAACTTGCTCAGATATGAAGTGACATTTTATTCCCCATATAACACTTAGGAAGCTCTGATCCATGTTTTGACAGCCTCAACCAAAACCACAGCTATGAAAACGAAACTCCTCTGAGTTCCGAATCCACAGCTGAACGTCACAGCTTTCCTCGCCTGAGTTACAATTCCTGGAGTTTCCATTTCACCTTCATTTTTTTCATAGAACAGAATCATGGAGTGGTTTGGGTTGGAAGAGACCTTAAAGCTCATCCAGTCCCACCCCCTACCATGGGCAGGGACACCTTCCACTTGGTTGCTCCAAGACCCATCCAACCTGGCCTTGGACACTTCCAAGGATGGGACAGTCACAGCTTCTCTGGGTGAACTTTTCCCCAAAGGAATTTGATCCCACACTGCTCTGAAGACCTGGAAATGTACATTCTCTACAGGTACAGCCCAAGCAAGAGTGGCACACACACTGCCCGTGGCTGCCTCTGCCAATCCAAGAGCAGCTGCAGCACCCTGGAAAGAGGGATGTGCCTCTAGCCCCAGGCAATGCACAGAGCCAAGACAGAGAACCAGGCAATAACTGCTGGAGTGCTTTTGGAGTGTCCGTGGGGAACAGAAATCAGAGAGGGATACTGAGCCAGATCAAAGCTCGTGCTGTTCTGGCATCCTGCCTCCCTCAGCAGCCCCTGGGAGACGCCCGGCGGATGAGCACAGGAATCGTTTGGAATAGCTGTGGACACGGACAGCATCCGGCTCCCAGCCCAGGGACACTCTCTGCTGGCTCTTCCAGTCTGGTCCTCACAGCACCCCATGGAGCAGCCCCTGTGCAGTCCCAGCACAGCCCTCTGGATGAAGCTCAGTGGCTTTTGCCTCCCCTTGTGCACTGTCACACACGAGAGGCACAAAACAGGCTCCAGGTACCGAAGCACCTCCAGATTCCTTTGCTATCTCAGCAGAGGAAACCAATTTGGAACATACAGTAACAGAGATTTTTAGGGCTCAGGATTTATACCACAGTCTCATCGTGACAGAGACGTTACATTTACATAACTCGGCAGCAGCACAGGATTCTCTCCCTCCAAACCCCCCTGGTCTCCATGAGGCTGTGGTGGAGCCGCCTTCCCTCACACGCACCCACGGGCGAGCCAGCAGCTCGTCTACCAGCTACTACAGAGCCACTACCCTCATCCCACCTCCCACGGCATCTGAGCATCCTCCCGGCTCCAAGACACAATCCTACAACTACAACTGTCTTGTATTTATGGGGTAATAATGTCTCAAAGACTCCCAGCACACTCTGCAACCTGACACACCCGATACTCCAGAGGAGTTTGCTCTGCACTGAGGAACCACCACACACGCCACCACAGGGGAACAGCACAGCCAACAACACAACCAGGATCACAGGACCATGAAGGCTGGAGAAGACCTCCAAGATACCAAGTCCAGCCTTTGGCCAATACCACCAGTTTACTCAATTTCTGAACATCTCCAGGCACGGGGACTCCATCACCTCCCTGGGCAGCCCCTTCCCATGCCTGACCACCCTTTCCAGCAAGAAATTCCTCCTGATGTCCAACCTGACCCTCCCCTGGCACAGCCTGAGGCTGTTCCCTCTCCTCCTGTCCCTTGGGAGCAGAGCCCGACCCCCCCCGGCTCTCCCCTCCTGTCAGGGGGTTGCAGAGCCAGAAGGTCCCCCCTGAGCCTCCTTTTCTCCAGGCTGAGCCCCCCCAGCTCCCTCAGCCCCTCCTGCTGCTCCAGCCCCTTCCCAGCTCCCTTCCCTTCCCTGCACACGCTCCAACCCCTCAGTGTCTCCCATGCCATGAGGGCCCAGACCTGGACACAGCAGTCAGGTGTCTCACCACTGCCCAGCACAGGGGACTGTCACTGTGGTCCTGTGGCCACACCAGTGCTGGTACAGCCCAGGTGCCATTGGCCTCGTTGCCCATCAGGGCACAAATGAGCCCAAGAGCAGCTACACCTGCTGGAAGGGTTGTCAGGACGAGATACACCTGCTCCCCTGACGGCCCCACCCGGGGGCAGGCACCTGAGCAGGGCTCAAGATATTCCCAACCTGTTTTAATCCAGCTTCAAAGTACTGAAACACAAGTTCCACCTCAATACTCTCCACTTCAGCTCATCTTACATAAAGCAGCCAGAAGGAGCTTCTGCTTCCAGAAGGGATTTCTGGACCTCACCCACTTGACCAGCCACTGGGATGTTCCCTTGCACACACACACACAGAGCATGGGAGGAGCTGGAACCCTGCTCACACACTGCACTCCAAACTGCCACCCTTGTAGGTGACCAGCCCTCTTCTCATGCTATCACTGTGTCATGGCCATTCAGCACTGCCCTTACCACAGCAGTTACTGTAAAATCACACCAAGACCTGCCACCACAACAGCAGGACCTCATGGTTTTGAGTCCTGCTCCAACATACAGTGACACCTGTGAGCTGCCAGCACCCCAGATTAGTTCTTCACTTGAACTTGATTTTTCCACTTCCCACACTGCCCCACACCAACACAGGTTTGCTGAGGTGACATGAGAGGATTGATGGTGCCGTGAATAAGATGACATCACACAGTCATTCAGGTTGGAAAAGCCCTCTCAGACCATCAACCTGTGCCCAATCCCCACGTTGTCCCCCAGCCCAGAGCACTGAGTGCCACGTCCAGGCCTTCCTTGGACACCTCCAGGGCTGGGGACTCCACCACCTCCCTGGGAAGCCCCTTCCCATGCCTGACCAGCCTTTCCATGAGGAATTCCTCCTGAAATCACACTTCTCATTTATAAGCAGAGACCACAGCTGCCCTTTACACCCTGTTCATCAGGCCCAGGACACCTCCTCCACCCACCTCTTCTTACCCACAGCTGCAGCTCCAACAACCATCACCAAAGAGACACACCAACTGCTCACCCCTTCCGTGCTCTTCACCAGAGCCTCTTCCACCCTCCACTGATGGGGTTCAGGATTAGCAAATCTTATAAAGATATATGATTTCCCCCAGTAAAGCTCCACCCACGATTGCAAAGGCAAACCAAAGTTACTCTTGCTGCTTGTTTACTTCCTAATTTATGAACCCCTGTAAGAGGAAACTCTATTTTCAAGACTTAATGCTGCAAAACAGATGGGGTAAAAAAAATCTCATCCAAGCGAACACTTTAATCTCAGAGGGAAATAAGGCATGTTAAGAGAAAAAACCCTGTTATTGACAAACAAGAGATTAAAGAAAACATTACAAATAATCAGCTCAGGATCAGCTTACTTGACAGCTAGTTCTGAAACACATTGGAACTATGGTTTTACTTCCACAGTGACTCCTTTTCTGGTTTAAACACACTGAGCTCTACACCTTTGCACCAATTCAAGACACTTGGTTTCCAATGTGGTCAACTTTCACATTTGTTTCATCAAATTCTTACACCAGAATTTATGGCCTGATCGATGCCACCCCCTTTCTCCATTCACTGAACCACCAGTGCTGAGCAACCAAAGCTCTGCTACAGCCATGACACTGTGAACCCCATCATTGTTCCAGGCACTGACCTTACACTGGCAAAACCACCGGGCATTTAGAACCTGGAATATTTGCTGTGCGAGGAAATTGGCTTCAATTAAGCTCCAGAAAATCAACAAACAGAAAACCCAGTGCCTGGTAGCCCATTAACTTGGCCACAGAGAAACCACAGAAAGAAAGGAAGAGCCAGTGGGTTTTTATCACATCCCATCACAGAGCTGAGCCCTGCAAGGAGAGCAGCTCCACTGAGGGCCT